AAAAAAAAAAATAACCACTAATTGAGTTTTTTCATCATGACAACTATTTTTTAACTTGGCTAATATTTATGGATGTTCTTTAAAATGATTTTTACAGGGGATATTGTAAGTAATTGATAATTTGTTTATCATTAAGTCTTATAACAATTTGAACCAGTATTTTCGAAAACTAGAGAAAAAATAATAACTGCAACAAATGGAATAGTCTTAAACTCTCTTTATGTCAAAATATATAAAACTTAAAATTCAAATTGTTCTTATCGAAACATATCCTCACAACTTAGCGCGTGCTGTATTGCCATAAACATAAAAATGCAAAGGCTTCAAATGCCAAGCTTTCTAGCGTTTACTTATTCAAGCAGTTTCTAGCACTATTTCAAATCATAATGTAATTTTGTCAAGTACCACAATATTTAATGAATTGAAAATTTACAAAAATTTGAATTTAAATTCGGTTCAATTTATGTTTTGTCGTGTTCTTATTATTTGTAAATGACAAAGAAAATAAGTTTTTAGCTGAAAGAAAAGTTACATTGGATGCCATTCATGAATCATTCTTGAACAAATCTTAAAGGAAAAGAAATCCAGAAGAGCTGAAAAACTTGAAGCATTCGCTTTTAATGTACACTGGAATTAGCATCATTAAGAATATTTACTCTACTTTGTTTAAAAATTAAACATTGACCATTAATTTTTACTCTATTTCAATGCTTAAGGTAACTCTTCTATCAGTCTAATGTCTGGAATAAAAGAAAAGAAGTGTTTTCAAACATGGATTGAAACTTTTCGTGTTGTACCCAAAGTTGAACTGAAAATTACGAATAAAAAGTTATGAGTAATTTATTCTACTTGTACTTTCTCAACAACTGATAAAATTAGTTAATATAACACCGCAACAAATTACTTTTCAATAAAAATTTCAATAGTCGCCAAACATAAAAGATGTTTTTGATTTAACGGAAGAAAAATTCGTTCTTTAAATTTTTAATGTAATTTTACAAATTTCACCATAAAGATGCAAACCTGGCAAAACTATGATGACGAGAAAAGCTAGATAAAATTCGAAGACTAATGATAAAAAGATTGAAATTATAAATGTTTTGATAAAACTGAATGACAGACGCGATGTGAAAAATTACTAACCGATCAATGGTGTAGAAGGGTTCATGTTACCACTGTACCCATTTTTTTTCAGTTTTCATTAGTACACTCCTATAATAAATTATTATTACTGCTATTGATTGTTCAATAGACTGAACGTGGTTGCGGGGATCCCATCAATATGACTAGTATGAAATCAATCATTTCGAATGAAGATTAGCAGAAAATATATAAGAAATGCAGGAATTATTCCTTTTAGCAATTTATAAGTCGATAGAGTCACAAAAAACACTGATTATTGGATTTTGATACTGCACTATCCCTTCTAGCGACATATTTTGTGTTGACGAAAATTCTTGACAATAATGGCTAACTCTATTCAAAAATCATTATCTGAAACCTTGATAATCGCAAATCATGCAATTCAACTTTTTCATTTTGGCTAAATACTTTAATCATTTAACTTTAGTTATTTATCATAATAATTATCAAAGATTATAATGTAATCAAGTGATTATGAAATTGCTATTCATAAATATTTGAAATAAGCTATCAATATAAGATTATATAATAGTATAAGATTTAGTCCCACTTTTTGTCTCGTTTATTTGCCTAATTTTTGATTGCTAGGTCATTCTCTTATGTTTTATTCATTGCTGTCAAAATTTCCAATAAAAGAAAAAATTTTTCTCGCAATTAATTTCTTATTAGCAATTTTAAATAAAAATAGATGAAGTGCCCTTTATCTGATGTTTTGCATCAACTTTCTATGATAGGGAATGCGCAGTACTACAGCAGAAACTTATTTTATCAATAATTTGCAGGCAAAAATAGCAACGACGTAATATATCCATTCATTCACTTTATTAAGAGAGCACTGTAAAAAACATTTTAAATTATAAGAATAATGCAAGGAGAAAATAGATGCATGTGGAAAAACGATTTTTTAAGTTTTATCACACTATTTTAAATAGGATCTAAAATTTTAATAAAGCTTTGCAAGTTAAAATTTTTGATGTCAAGTGATTTTGGAAATAAAGCTGAAAGAAGAAGCATTAAAACAGTATAATCAAAAATGACCAGGAAGAGGTGGATTTTGGTCACTAATAATGATAGTTGAAGAAGAATATCATGTGAATCCTTAAAGCTAATTAAGCGTAGCAGTGTCATAGCTGTAGTCTAAACACATTAAGTAGTTATCAATAGAATATTACTTTTAATGTTTATTTTCTTATCAGGTTGCGCTGCGTCAATCTTAAATTTATTTCAATCAACATAAAGTAATACTATTATCATGGAAGTTGTCTACTTAGGACAAAAAATTTTGCAGATTCATAAAAAATTTTTTAAATCATTGAAAAATTTATGATTAATCGTTTGGCCATGTAACCAAAGGTATCACAACTATAAGTATCAGTACCAAATTTTAAAAAAGTATTCTCTTTCGAGAACCTGATTGTGCGTTCTGAAATCATTTGGTATCTTCTGTCATTTCATTTTTTTTTTACTTTTAATTTATTACGAAATACAGTTGTGAAAACTTCATCAATCATTGCCATAGGAACACTGCATTTTTATCTTGACAACTTGAACAATATTTCTATTTTTTTTTCTCCTTGGGATATTGATGATATTGTAAAGTATGAAATTTGTTCAGATTACCTCACACATGATAACGAGTTAAGCAGTTCAGTAATCTATATATGACATAAATGCAAACATAAATATGTGCTTGTGATCCTTCAGAGAAAATAAAACATTCGAGTGTCGATATATGAAATTTTAAAAAGCGCAATTAGTTTCAGATAAATAAAAAAATAGTTCAAAATCTTATTGATATGAGTTTTCTTATTGTAAGTCAAATGAATTTGGGTATCAATCTCTCAGAGTGAATTTACAGTATTAACTATTTCAGAATTTATTTCAGTTTTCTTGATAAAATAAGTACATACCATCCATAGATTAAATGTATGATATATGAAACTTCAACAAAGCGCAACTAGTTTCAGTACATCAATTGCAGCAATTTAATCTATAATAAGTTGATAAAAGCTAAATGATCAGTTTTGATCAACGAAGCCGACAACATCATTTACATGGCACTAATTTGATTGCTGCATTTCATAAACTTTTTAATTTTTAGAGATGACTGTGTCATCAGTTAATAAAAACAGTCAATGTACATATGTTGGTTTGTAGTTTCATTAGGTTTTATAAGAAAGCTATTCATTGTCAGCTCTTTTGATCCACCATAAGATCACTTTAAGTTACACATCTATTTTATCTTATACCAATTCATCTTTCAGTTTTTCATATCAGTGAAGAATGTTCTTCATAGCTTCATTTTACCGTAACACAATACAAAGTGCAATTCAGCTGTAATCGTTATTATGGCGCATTAGTCAACTCTTTTGTTCTATCCATTTCAATTTAACAATTAAACAAAAATGATTTTTTTTAAAACGGATACATGTGTTTCAAACAAAAAAAAAAAAAAAAAAAACAGTAGAGGGGAAGAGAGCGCAGAGAAATTGAATACTTGAACAACGGGACAAAATTTAGCGAGCGTTGATTTCAATAATTTTTATTAAGAAAATGAAATAAAAAACGATTTGTTTCCTTGTAAATATAAAAGTGCTTCAAAGCATATTTATGCTTAATCATTAAAGCACAACATTATATTTAACATTATTAATCATTGATTGATCCGTTGTGATTTTTAGTTGATGTAAAATAATTTAAATACGAAATAAGCATTAATAACTCTTCATATACCATTATCTATATCCTAAAAGAACGAGAGCGATACGATGACCTAATTCACTGTTCATGTGACCGCAAATTGACGAAGTTTCTACAGTAGTAATTGATAACAAGGATCAAAAATTTAAACTGACCCGATGGAACTGGCTGATATTTCCAGAGAAACGAATTATATTTTCTAACTAAAAGTCTATTTAGTAAAACTTCTATGATAAGTTATAATTATCGATTTCGATGACTTTCCGTTTTTTTTTTATGCTCTTTTTGCTGCCTACAAGTTTCACTTAGTTTCTTCGTTGATTTCTTTTATAGATTCCTTTTGATAACAATTTTGTGTTAGCCTGAAAGTAAATTAATTATCCAGTGAGTATGAAATGAAGTGATGAGGATATCCTGATTTCTCTAGCAACATTTCATTTCATGAATCTCGTGGTATACAATTTCACTTTTTTTTCTTGTTTCAGTAACGAAGAAAAAGTTTTTTTCGGAAAAAATGGTGAACTATAAAATTCATGATTTTATGCCATCTTTGTGAGGATAATTTTCATGATTAACTCATTAAAAAGCATTATTGCAAACAAAAGACTTAAAATTAAGTGAAATCACAATTATGATCAACAAAAGTAGTAAAATTAAAGCTAATTATTATCATAATTTGATGAAATTTGTTCAAAAAAAGCTAATTTTCTTAAATAATTTTTCTCATAATGCATACGCGTATGATGAACAATAGACATTTTTAGATAAAAAACAGTTTGAAAATGGAACTGAAATTATAGAAAAAAATATTTGAAATTAATTGAAAATAACAATAATTCGTATGACTCAACGTATTCAAATCTATTAATATTAATTTAACTACATGCATGGAAATATTTTTTTAATTGTCAAAAGAAAGTATATCTATGCGCAAATCATAAATTTTCATCTGCTCCATTTATTTTACAAATCTAATTGCTAACTATCAATGATTGCAGATTATCAGTAATTGGAAGACTACATTATAAAAGAACCCGTAAAAATAATTCAAGTTTACAGTAAAGAGAAGTGTCCAACGAATTTTTGAAATGCAGGATTAAATTTCAACCCTAAATCAAAGTTCTGAAAATTGTTATAGAATTAATATCTTAACAATGCTACAACTTTTTGCTGCAAAGAAAAGATGACAAAGGGAAAAAACTAAGAGTAGTTGGGATAAACAATAATCCATGTAATAATCCAATGACCATTGTAAGCCAAATTGTCTTAAAAAATGTTAAAATAATATATGCATTGACCGTATAGAGGACAGATACACCAGCGATTGTAGATGCTGCACCCTAAAACTTAAAATTATAATCAGAAGAAAATATAATCTTTGGCTATAAGTTTGTTATATCTATCCCGTTCTAACTGTCCTAAAATATGACCATTCTAACTCATCAGTATGTTATGAATATAAAACAGGAATTAAAAACCTGAAAAATGGGCCATCCAAGTGATTCGAGAGCATGAATAACTCGTTCTTTTGATGAGCCAGTTGCCATAACAAACGCATATGTGATATGAGATGATAAATCAACAGCGAAACCAATACTCATAATGATGGAAATCATTGATACGGCATCCAAATGAACACCCCAGAATGTCATATATCCAAATATACCCGTATTAATTGATATTATAGAGATGATTATTAAAGTACCTGAAGACTTGTGCATTTTAAAAATTCGATCATCAATTTAGCAAATAAAAAATATGAATTTTAATGACTGAATCCATTTTGAATTCAACATAATTTCGACAGTGCAATTTGCAAGTAATAAACTTAATTTTAATTTAAAAAATTTTAAAGTAAAGAACTTACATGGAGCTAGACTAGGTACTAATGTTGCAGCCACAGTAGCCATACAGATTAGCGATATAATGATACTGCGAATGGTTGATGGGACAATAATTATATATTGATCAGCAAACGGAAACGTTTCATGAAATACTTCGATTTTAAATGGTTGCCGATCAGCTATTTCACGTAATTTTTGAGCGGCATTTTTGTGCTGATTTGCGCTAACAGTATTTTGCATTGCTACCTGCAAATTCATTACATCAACAAGAGATTGCTCAAATTATCAATTTCAAGAAATAATAATCATAAAATAAAAATGAAAGTAAATTTCATTATTTCTGTCATTTTTAGTGAAAGTAAGAGAAATCTAAAAAGTTTTAAAGGAACCTGAAATCGAAATGCTTGAAAAGTACCATTCTCGTTAAAGTGGATATCTGTTGCCCACTGATTACTTCCTCCAGTATATTTTAACCAACTTAGCAATTTTGTGTTCCAAATCCTAAAAAGAGTACTATAGCAGTAAATGCTCAACTTTTTATTTTAGGATGTTTTTAAAATTGTAAACATTTAGTTGAATTTTAAAAAACTACGGGGTTTTTTTATATGGTAAACATGACTGATAGACTTTTTTATTTTAACTTTAAAATTTCAAAATTCCAATTTCAGGAAATAAAGAGACGGGTCAGGTATTAAAAAGGAAACCAAATGTAAAATGCGTCTGGGCATAAACAAAAATTACATTATCGTAACTGAAATCTGTTAAACCTGACTAACCGTTCCGTATTTTCCAGTTCAGCGTTGACTTCATCAAGGTAATTTAAATATTCCAGAAAGAAAAAAATTGTTCCATCTCTACCTAATGTGTATTCCGTATTCTCAAATGCTTGTACTACAGCCATCATTTTTTCTCTAAAAAATTTTTACTATTGTATATTTTTTCATTGCTTAAGTTTCAAAACTTTAAGCGATGAGTAATCATTCTAGAAATATTTCTAAGCAATCTAATTCTTAAAGCAAAATTCAAAAAATAAAAAAAGAATAAAAAATTTGCAAAATAATTCATTTTTGATATCACTGGATGATTTTCCGGAAAGTAGGTGTAGCTGACAGGAGTTGCTGATCAAAATGAACAAGCAATATTGATGATTTATTTGTAATTTCAGAACTACCTTTGAATAGGATCAGTAAGATTTGGAGGATGTAGTACAGCAACATGAAGTTGAGTACCTCGTACCCAGAAATTTTTCAAATCTGCGAAATAATGAGAGGTGTAATGATTATTTGTAACCAAATTCTCTGGTTCCAATCCTTCCTATAATTTCAAAATTCAATAAATATTCCTGTTTCAAAAGCTTTTAACGGAAAATTTATAACAAATGTTATATTGAAATTATGAGAAAATTTCAAAATATTACCGAATAATTTAAACATCCGATCACAGCAACAGCAATATATATAAAATAGAAGATGTAAGTTAAAATAGCACATTCTTTGCGCAGTATAAACTGAGCATAAATATGACCAAAGAAATATTGTGTCCACGTATTCTTTTTCTTCTCGATTGGTTGAGTTTTTAACTGAGATATTGTTGTGATATACAGTCCTGAAATCTACATGCAAAATACATTAACAATTTCCATTTGAATATCTAAAAATTGTAATTCAAGGAAACTTTTGCAATAGATCAGACTTTATATCTAGGAGTGAAATCTAATTTATAAAGTACTTCAAGTGAACTTTAAACAGTGTAGTATGGATTCATATCATTTTACAACTACTATTTTGCATATCAGAGTTCATTCCAGCTATTCTATAACAACTTGTAATTTGTTATCTAAGGAAAGCTATACTTGTGAAATGTAGTAATAAGTACAAAAACTTAACCTTCAGTGATGCAGTTGTTATCAGTATCAACCATTTCAGTTGGTTTTTGATTACATAGTTCGTCAACAGCAATAATCAAACTAAGAGTTTTAATGGCAGTTTTCAAAGAACTGCCATTTGACTGAGTGCTGATACCAGAGCGATATGATATATCAGATCCGCTAAATAAGTTCAAAAGTGATTCCGGATATAATCATAAAGGTCAAAAATAAAATAAAGTGGAAAAGTGGAACCTGTCAGTTGACGAACACTGCAAACTATTATCGTAGTCATTCCTTGAATTACAGAATCGAGCACTGTTAATCATTTCTTTTTTGACGCATTGTTCGTCAGCTTTGTAGAAAAGTAGGCAGTGTCGTTGATTCATTTCCACAGAGCCCATTATGGCAAGAAATGCCATAAAAAATGTAAACTGAAAATCAAATTTTAATTGTTTAATTGCAAGGCATAATATTTACTCAGTGGAAATTTCAAAAAAAGGAATGAAACTATTTTCAAATTTTTAATTGAGTTATATCAAATAAATCACTAACTTGATACAAATAGCAAAAGATGAATGTGATACAGGCATAGCTGCAGAAGAACTGAATTCCCGGTAATTCGCTATGACAGCCTACGGCAAATGATAATATATCAGTGATATTTGTGATAGATATAGTGACCCCTGCATGAGCCATCATATTACTCATTCTGAAAGCAGGTCTTTTCAACTTTAATTTTAGCTCATCAAAAGGTAGTCAAATGAAAAAAAAAAAGCATAGATCGACAATTAATCGCCACTACTGCTACAGTTGTATAGTCAATATATCTAATAATGGACAATGACACACCACATTTAATCAATGAAATATGTTAGCAGACCGAATTACAACAATGTTTTCTTAACTTGCATAAACACTCAAAAAAATACTGAGACAGTTCTCACTCTTTGTTATTTCTCTAATGTGAAAGCCGAATAGAAGCAAGCTGCTAAATGCATATAAAAATATAGAAATAGTTTAACCTTTTTGATACAGTATCTGTCTGATCTGTTTGATTCCAACAAGCATTCATTACAAACATATCATCCACTCCGATTGCTACAATTTATTCATTTAAACCAAAATAATCTAACCAAAGATTGAATTAAAAAATCATTAGAGTGATAACCTTTTGTAAGCATACTTTTTGAAAATTATTGTTCGATAGTAAAGTGCTTGACGGTAATTTAGCCCATATAAAGTGGTTTGTTTTTTTTTTTTTTTTTTTTTGTCAAGTTAAATTCCATAAGTTTAATTTATAAACCAAAAAATAAATGAACTTATTTAAAAACCTTCAATTAATTAAATTCTTCTGACACTTTTTTCATTGGTAATTAGAAATGAATCTGCACTGAATTGCTAACCGATAATAAGGAATGGTATAATTGTGTTGATTACATTGTACGGTATGTTTAACATCAGCGCAAGCCCAAAACCACTGCACATTGCCAGTAATGTTGTAATAAGTCCTAAAGCATACTCAACTAATTTTCAAACTAAATTAATTTCAATTAAGCAAAGATTTTGCAGCAAAATTAACAAAAGAGGATTTTAGAAATATTAACTTCTTAAGTATATTAGTAAGGTAATTTGACTTTACAGTACCTGCACACGCAACATACGGCTTACTACGAATCCAGTCGATGCTTGTTCTTGGATGTTTTTTGAGGACGTATGAAAATATGGTAGCATAAATGCAGAGTAACGAGAAGCTAGTAAGGAAATTCCAAGTGAAGTCTTTTGCATTCTCAGCTAAACCGTCCTATAAAATAGACAATAGTTTTTTCAGAATGATTTGATTTGAACTTTGTTTTAATTTGAATTCCAAAACTTCCTTAATTCCTTAGTTTGATTAATTAAAAATTCGTCTCACATAAATGAAATTGTTTTACCTGTAATGAATGGTAATGTGAGAATGAAAGTGAAATAATATCACTTTTATAATTATGCAATAAGTAATGCTCAACAGCATATGAGAATGCGGTTGAGTAACGACGAACAATATGCGCTTCTTGCTTCAAGAAATAGAAGAGTTGAGTCAGTTTTGCTGCTTTTATAGTACCATTCGATTCGTTTAAAGTCACATCACTTAGTACTGTTCCCAGATAAACAGGCGTGTCCGAAAATTTGATTTCATTATTCATCAGAACTTGAAACTTTCAGAAAATCATTTTTAAATCCTAAAATAACTTTGACTGAAGCTAAGTGAATTCATTGTAATTCATCTTTTCTTTCTTATCTAAAATTTCATTTCCTAAAAAAACTATGATATTTTCAAATGTGTTCAAAGGAAACATGAATGTTTTGTTTGAAATTAAAATTAACTTAATGATAAGCTTACCTTACTGCCAGCTCGAGGGTATGTTAATTCCACAAAATTGCCAACTTTCATCCTTTCTTGTAACATCGAAATATGTTCATTTGTTCCACATATCCATTCATAGCTAAGACATAAATCCTAAATGTACAGAATGTAGATTAAGATTAGTTAGTCAACCAATAATCCATTGATTAATTAGTTGATAGATAAACTCCTGGGCTGATTAGCTTATATGATAACCAACTAAAAGTACATAGTAATACAAATGATTTCTGACTTTCGATTGTAGCAGAAAATGTACTAACCTGATATGTGAGATTATACTTGCCATCAGTTGTTGGTATGCTAATATTAAACATAATCCACTGATTCAGTCCTTGTATTTCATCTAATATTTCCTCTCTCAACAAATTTCCTCCATCTTTGGCTTTTACTAGTACATTTATAAATCGCTTCATTTCAAACGATTTACCCGGCAGAAATTTGTTTTCATTCAATGGCCATAGTGAAGCGAACGTGTCAAATTCTTGATGCCACCTGCAACTGGTAAACTGCTCTTGTCTTCTTAAATTTGGCCATTTTTAAGAAATGGAATCTACCCAAAAATTAAGTGTATAATTGCGATCTTTTGAGTTTTATACTGTTTTCATTACAGTGAAGTAGAATTTCATCACTGAAATAAAACTGTGATCAAGTGAAGTCATTTAGGCAAACTAATGTTTGATATCATTTTGATGACCATATATATTTCTTGATACACGACTTGAATTCTACTTATAACTTATATGATAATGAAAGATAATGTAGCTAAACAACAGGTGCTAAGCTAATCATTCTACTTATTTTAAAGTGCTTCCTATTCCCTTAATTAGAATTAAAAGAAAATGCTTCATATCATTGCTGTAATCAATTCAAGGTAGATGACTATGTAAATAGATCTTTGGTATTTCATGAAGAATGAATTTAAAATGGTAATAGAAAAAATGTGTATGGGAGACTTCCTATATTTTTACCTGGCATATACTGGAGTGAAAACATAAAAAGGATCATCAATAGTTAAAGCAGTAAGGCGACAAAAACCAAGTGATAATAGTGCAGTTATGATCAATGGAAACATGATTAGGAACCATCGCCACTGATAACCAAATTCACCATACCATTGAAAAAATCGACGAAGTTCAGGTTCTATTGATGTTATTCTCATCTGTAAACAATATTCTTCTCACAGATGCAGATTTCACCATTATCATCACTATTGGTTGCTGTTTGATGTGAGGTAACGATGTATTCTTGAAGTGTTTGGCGTCAATTCTTTTTTTAATGTACCATCATATAAGTACTTTTTTGCTTTTTGTATCACAAATATGAAATGCTTCTTTTAATAAGATTTTTAAATTTTAAAACTGCATAAACCAATCCAAGTGCAAATGCTATTATTTATTATATACTGGTAATAAACTATCAACGAGTTGTTTAACTTATGATATTCAGAAATATATACAATTCTATCACACTCTTTTGCTGCAGGAAATGCAAGAAGTTTAATCAAGCTAGACATATGCCCATAGCTTATATCTTTTAGAAATGATTAATTTCAAATGATAATATTTTTGTACACATTTTCAGCAAAAATTCTGTACATGACTTCCAGTTTCATCGTCGTCAGTTATAAATCTCTGAGATTAAAATACGTGAATTGTTAAATATTGAAAATTAAGTGAACTATCTTTGAATAGCAGAAAAGGAAAGATTCAAGGAGTAAAATGATTTTCTTTTAGAGACTTTAATAAACTCGAGAAGATACTGTTATGAATAAACTTAACTAATTTTTAAAAGGTTAATAAATGACTGCTGATCACCATCTTATACTATAATTAGAATCAAAAGGTTCTGAATAACTTGGACAGTAATCATTCACTACATATAAAGTGATCATTCATTATATGTTTTTATTCATTAAGCATTCTCAAGAAAATTCGGTGTAAAATTGATAATAATTGTAAGAATTTAAAATGATGGATAAGATTAAAAAAGAATACAAATTTCAAACGGATCATTCATAAATTGGTTAAAAGTTTTGAAGTGGAGGTGGAGAGGAGGAATATTAGTGTTGTTGGGGACAACAAAGATGGTTATATCGTGTGACAAAGTGAATTGATGATGGTGTATGAAACTGGGTCAATTGGAAGGGGGGAGGAGGAAGAGGACACATCCTTACATTAGGTAAAACGGTGATGCGGAAGTGATTAATTCAGTGAAAGGTGTACAAAAATGTAAAAATCTTTATTCTTCTTCATATGTCTATTTTCTCTTCTCTGATATTCGTAACATCGGCGGTAATTAAAACATATTTAAACATCGATCATTCACTACTACCCAATATCGACCTTTTTCCTGATTTCATATAATTTTGGAAGAATTACCAAGGAGTATCATTAAATTAGCTTGCTTCTTGTGATTGATAAGGATGAATCTGAAATCCGCTTACTAAGCAACTATCATTACAGCTATATATTCTCAGTTTGCATGTTACTTCCTATTCCCATTTTTTTTTCTGAAAAAAATAGGACTCAAATCTTCTGAAATTTGAAATAGCAAAAGGTAATAAGAAAAGAAAAAAATGTTTGCTTGAGTTACGAAAAATAATTATAGCATAAGTTAAGTAGTTTTGTATACTTGAATGAAGTTTACTGGGATGACCTAACGGTGTTTTTTGTCTGTCCATGTATTTTTTTTTTTTTTTTTCATTTATTTCTTTTCCTCATTCACTGAACAACTTCTCTTTGATGTTTACACAACAGATATTAGAATAAACTAGAATTTCAATGAATTCCTTCTATGGTAATTTATAAAAAAGGTTTTTGTAAAAATTTATTCTTTCCACTTCATCTGCCTTGGCATCCCAATTGTAAAAACAATAATATGTATATGACAAAGGTATTTCTAGAAAAGATCATTTCTGAAAATCATAAAACTAATGATCACAGAATAGGAATGCTTTTCTGCATTCATTTTCTCTTTGATTTCCTTTATAAAATGCTTTATATCGTATGAAATCAGTATAATATGAAAAAACAAACAGGTTCCAAACAAAGGATTTTCTTATTACAATTACATACCTTTCACTTATGATTGAAAAAAAATTACATTTATATCTATCAGTTATGAATGGAATTGGTAGCAAATATTTCACTTCGTATAATTCCAATGAAAATTTTTGCTAGAACGATAGAATAATTTTCTTTGTTTTTGTTTGTGCCTATTATCTCCTTCCAAAAGACATTTTTTATGCAAATTCTAGTGGAGTTTTTTAAAAATCTTATGAGATCATTCAATTTAGATATTTGTAATTATTTTCCTGGTGAAGTCAAGGGAAGTATTTATTTAATCTTTTCTGTGACAACATCAAAAATTAACTGAATTTATAGCAGGAAAAAGCATTATACGCTGTTATATTTTATAAGATATAGAACAAAAATTAATTTAAGAAACTAAAAAGTTTGACGTTATCTTTTTTTTTTCTTAAAAAAATGAATAAAACTGAAGTAGCCCTAAAAGTCTTGTAAGAAATATTATTCAGGAATTACACTAAGTAAGTATACAAGTGGAATTATCACCACTAAATTTCAACATCATAAAAATAATATGATTAAAATATTATAATAGGAAAAGCAATAATATGATTAAAAATCAATTTGGAAATAATAATAATATGGACTGCACATATTTAAAGAAGTTTGCTGTTCAAGAAAAGAAAATTTCTTTTTGTTTTTAAATACAAATCACATTTCTATATCTTATTATTGGTCATTATTGATTAAAACATCTTAGCAAAAAGAAACTGTTAATTTCAGAGAAATCGAACTACACCTAAGTATAAAACTTTTTCATCTGTAGTAGTCTATTGATAATTTAAGCATCCGAAAATAAGATTAAAAGTAAAAACAAATAAGAGACAAAATGGCACCACAAACAAGTAATTTAAAATATCAATATATGCTGAATGGGTAGTAATCATTTACTAGAGAAGTCAATAAATTAGTTAGTATGCAAAAAGGCAAAGAAAAAATGAATGAATCCTGCATATTTGTATGCATGCATATATATATAAGCAAAAATGAGGAGGCAGACAGTAATGAAATAATAATGCAAATAAGTTTGAAAGCGAAATTTCAGTCATAACAATTTCAAATTAGGTCATCATTTAACAGATATTAGTGGGAAAGGGAGGAAAGAGGTGAGAGAGTGTGAGTGGGGTAGATTAATTCTCATAAGTAAACGAATAAACACTTATTTATCGAGTATTACAGCTGAAAAGTATAGTTAGTCCGAGAGTTCGTTGTGTTACTTATCATCGTTACTGCTTCTATCCGTATCACTCCTGTTTCACCTACTCAATCATTGAATGTGAAAAATATCACTGGAATTAAAGATCTTTAAACAAATTAACGACGGAATATTGTGACAAAAAAGAAAATAAATGAAAAATATTGTTATGCTAATTTTTAGTTCCTAATTTTCATTAGTAATTTTAAAACTTCAACTCAAAACATTTGATTAATCGTGTATGAGTCATTCATTTAGATATGTCATATTTGTTTTTGCACTGTTAATCTTCTGTTCAGTGATCTACAATCCCAGATTGGAACTACAAACAAAGAGCCCAAAAATCCTAATTGAAATATCTGATGAATTCATATGCATTCTATTACAACAGAATAGTGTAATGAATATGCACTAAAACATTCCAGCATATGGAGTTTCATTTATGTTAATATTGATTTTTCAAATATTGCAGTTTTGCATAATGTATATACAAATATTTTCAGGAGGACAATAAACTGTTTGACAGAAAGAAATTTACTGATAATGGAAAGGTGAAACGATATGCAGGTCTAACTAGCAGTGTAAATTAAAATCAAAGATTAGATAACTGATTGTTTTTTTTTTTTTTTTTTGATCTTTTTTACAATTCTAGCATATCTGTAACTTAGTTGGACCATTACTAAAAGATTTTACACTGATTATTTAAAAACATTTGAAGAAACATAAAAATTGTCCATATTCTAAAATCATAACAAACAGTGCAACCTGAAAATCATATCTAATAATAATTATTTGAAATGTTCATTAACTGACTGCAAATAATACGCAAAATTATAACATTAATTAATAATGACTCCTTTCCTACTGAATGTTACAGGAATTTGAACAGATTGAGGTGAAATGTAATACGAGATGAATGCTAAAGTTTGAACAGATAACGTATGGTTAAACACGCATTACATCCATACTTCGATCATCGAGTTTTTAGTAGCCTGGCAAGCACTCGCATTTGAAGGAGCCTGCCAAATTTATACACATCGCTCCAGAAGGAAAGACAATTACCAAGCTGAAATGATAGTCTGTGGCTTCATCTTTTCTAACTTTTTCTTTAATGTTGGGTATTGCTGCAATATTAAGAATGAAAATAAGATAGGAATTGAAAATCTCTATTAATTTTTCCACCAACAAACTTTACATTCTTTCTTTCTCTCTCTATCTTGTTTTCCTCTTTCTCATCACTAAAGTTAAAATATATGACAACTTGTTCACGAGCAGTATCATCCTATGCGCATTCATCAACATCATGATATATTCTTCCATTTCCAAAAAAAAAATCCTACATATCAAATATAACAATTTCCAATTCTGAAGGAATAATCTTCAGTTTCTTTTTTTTTTCTTTAATTAAATCTTTAGAATTTGGATAATTTCTTTGTTACATATTGAAGCATTTAAAAAAATGAGATAACTCTTAGGGCCATTTTGCATTGGCATTCTGCTCCGTAATTGCTGTTGTTGCAAATGGCATTCGGATCACAAGAATTAGCTTGTTCATAGAAGTTAACGTTGACACATACCGGACAGCAATGAATGGGTGGAATTTCTTGTTCGTCGCAGTTTAACTTCGTACATTTATTTGATTCTCTGAAATTAACAAAAAATGATCCTTCAGTTTACTACAACAAAAAATTTATTGTCATCTTGAATTCCACTATTACCTAATGAAAAACATTGGTTTGAAGGATTGTTCTGTATCAAATAAAAACCTTATCCTGAATAATGATATTCCTGAACAGTCGTAGTAGATAAATCAGAATTATGAAAATAAACTTATGATTTTTTATAATTTTTCAAAAGCGCAAAATAGTGAAGAAAATAATCAAATGAAGCATAATGAAAACGAACAAAAATTGACAATCCATATTGCCGTTGTCGTATATACATCTCACACAGTTTTTAGGCCAGTATTGTTGATCATTTTGCCATCTGCGCCCATTATAAAAACACTAGAGAATAATAAAAACTTCCCAGTGGCAGCCGGAATTAAATGAATTGGCAATATATGTCGACGTAATATAATACCTTGAAATATATGCCATGTAGACAGGTTATTTTAAATTTCAAATCAACTTTTTAAAATTTTAAAATCTAGAACAAAATTTGCTCCATTAAAATCTGACCTCTTTGGTGCAAACTGGACAATACTGCCCAGAAGGTAAAATAGGTCCGCAGATTACTCTAAAGTAGTACAACCAATTCGTCCGCAGACCACTTCACCATGTGGTATACAAACACATTCCATACATAAACTATTGTTACGATATTTTTGTTCCACTGCTATCAACCCTAAATCATTTTAATATAGTTTTCCAATTTTTGATATTGCAATTTATGATTTAAAACAGATAAAGGTCTCCTGAACTGTGAAATATTTCTATTTTCGCATTCTTTATTGCAAAAAAGAAAATGGAACTAATTTATTAAGAAAATAATCTTCAGATAGAGTAAGAATTACTCAATGAGGAAAAGAAATATTGCTTTTTATTTAATTATATAGTTTTGGAAAATAATTTAATCCAATTTGAATTGTTTTTTTTAAGTTGTAGTTTAAATATGACTGATTTTTAATTAAATTTTTGTTTTTCAATTAACTGAAAAATTTTTAATTAATTGAAAATCAACAAACTTAACAGCTTCTTTGCTGTAATTCAATTCTTTTTAAGTTTTGATCACGCAAATGTATTGCTTCCAATCATTTGTTTATATCTGCTTTCAGCTAAGTGTTCCAGGATTTCCTACAAACAAATCTCAGAATTTTCATTGTCAAACTATTATTTGCTAATGATGAAGTCATGCATAGATTTTATTGCATTTAATCTTTTAAATATCATCTGATACAATTTTATATTTTGCATTTAAAATCTAAAATTCTTTGAAATGACTAAATAAAAAAAAAAAAGGTTCTGAACGGAAGTCTATAATTATTAGTTTTATAAACTGAAATCTTGCCAAAATTTTTCTAACTTTCAAAATAAAATTTCCGAATCAAATTATCGCTCATGATGTTTCAAATACAGGCAATAAAAAATTTTTGCAAAATACTTGATCCAATTTAGTTAATAACTTGATCGGCAGAAGCAAATTATAAAATGTTGGACTATCGCAAGTTGTAAGAAGTACGGCACTTGTGAAGTTTTCTTGTTGAAATTCCAAATGTAACAATGCATTCTGTGTTACAATATAACCCAAAAACATTCTGCCTGAAATGGTTTGATTGCTTTATATATTCTATGAATTAAATAAATGGATTTAAAGGATCTCTTAACCATTTTAAGATTTATAATTGTGGCAGTTTTAGTAATCGGTTTTCGTAAATTCTTTCTTGAAGCTTTCTTGAATTTTACGACCAAAATTTCATGGAATATTTTTCAATTTTACTAAATATTTTTAATATTTGCAAATATTTGTATTCCACTCGTGACATAACGTTTCCTTTAATTTGATGATTTTTTTTTTATAAATGCTGATTACAGCATCCGTTCATCCTATGATTAAATATTTTTAAACATCTACTATTATTCGACCCGACAAATGATACGTATCTTTGAAGTCGTCAGAAGCTTCGCTGATTAGTTAATCCTCACGAATAATTTGGATTGAAAAGCCTGTTCGAGATTATGTAACACTGTTAGATCCACTGGATTATCCGCGATATTTTTCCTCCACGGATGATTAGTAAGTATACATCAAAGTAAGAGTGGAATAAATATACATCAAAAGTATGACTGGAAATTTTTTTTTTTTAAAGAGGCTAAATTAAATATAAATTTTCTCGAAAGGAAACCTGCCATTAGCATATTTTACAAGATCAAATTAATTTTTGTAGAAAAAACCTTTTACAGAAATATTTTTTTTCATTTCTTTCACAACTTTTCAATTATTAAAGATGTCATCGATAAATACTTTAGTTTTTGGTATTCGTTTCCGAAATCCTTCAACAGCTGCCAGCATTACAGTAATGAAATTCACAAAAAAAAAAAGGAAATGATAAATTTTCATCCTAAAAAACGAGCAGCATTAATTTTTCAAAATGTTAAACAAAAAGAAAAAGTTTTAATACTGCATTAGTAAAATATTGAAGTAGAAAATTTTGAAGGAAGTGATATCCTCTAATAGCAAGAATGATTGAAAATATAATATGATATAAAAAAAAAAAAAAAAAACATCACATGAAAGATGAAAAAAACCAAGGAAAAAAATGAAGAGAGAGAAGAAGAAAGAAGAAAAAGGCGAAAAAGAAAACAACTCGAAAGCCTGAATGATGCGAATAAAAATAAAGCGCTTCAGTAAACACAAGGCACTTTCTTCAGTTCACCTGAAGATGTTGTTGGTCTGCGTTTCAAAGCTGTCATATTCCATTTTCTGGAGAATAATAATAGTATTGAACTTTTAGATAAAAGACGAGCTACATTTTTAGAAGAACAGCTATTCAAATTGCAACGTTAGATGAAACTAGTTTTACGTGTCTGTGGGATTAAAAAGAAGAAAATAAGCACTTGTAGTAAAATTTTCCGTAAAAATTTCATAAGTTTTATCTATAAGTGCTGCACAGAAAAAATAATAAATCCGGCATCTTCAAGATTATAACAAAAATGTGATAAATATATGAGTCTGACTTTTGATTACACAAACAGTTAGGTAGCAGTGTTAAAAAGTCTTAAGACTTTTCTATGAGAGAAAACTACCACTGACTATTTAATTGGCTCCTACAATTGGATAATTCATAATGAATGTTGATTTGTAAATGATAAGAAATGAAATCATTAGTACAAAAATAATATTAAACAAATGATTAATATATTCACTGAATGTGTCACATGTAGAAAGCTTTCTTATCAACTTTCTCTTGTATTGTTAAGCTAATTTGGTTAAAATTGTTAGCTTCATTTTCTTCCAATTTATATTTTAGTACATTGTTTCGAATTTAAATAATAGTTAGTTATATGCGTGTAATTTCCGCCCATCTTTGTGTGATCATTTAAAAATTTTTTTTCGAAAGAATTGTGTGGACAATAGCATTGGATTGTTTTCTTGACCTCAGAAAATTACAGGTTTATATTCATGGATTTTTTTTTTAAATGATCATTTGTGCGATAGAAGTAATAAGGAAGTTTAATGTATCGTTGCCCCATGTATTTCAGATTTCTGTGGCCACAAAATGTGTCATGTTGTTTAAAATTATTTATTTTTTTCTTTCAATGATCAGTTGAGAAGTGTTTTAATTAATAATTTTGAAAGGAAATCTTAATTACAAAGACTGAGAAAAGTAAACTTCAATAACTTCAATGGACATAGCTTTTTTAAAAATATTTTTCCCAGAAAAGAAAAATGTCGTGAAACTTGAAATAATTTCCTCCAAATAACTTACAAACCATATCAAATAAAATTGTATTAACCCACAACACTAAAATTTGTGCTAATTAAACATTAGAAATGTAAAACTGTTTCAAATTATACATTATGTAAGCAATCATTATTTCAACTCTCATTTTTTCACTGTAGTTGAGCTTATCTGCTTATCTGATAACAAAGAGTATGTGCATTGTTTAATATGTTAAAAACTACTCCTTTGTTGCAAATCAAATTTGCTTACAATGTCGAAATATTGTAAAGGTTTTCTAAGCTAATAGTCATTCTTTAAGAAACTACAGTATTAAAACCCATCTCTTACTATATAAAGAGTAAAGATCATCTGATAGCTCCTTACTCAATAATCATGCTGTTGCTGCAAGTCAGTATCCACTATATAAGGGTTTAAACCCTTTTGTCTCAATCAACTCAGTTTTACCAGTTTTTTCCTTACCAGTAAGCTACAATTCTGCTGCTCTTCCTCACTCACAATTCAGCTCATTTCCCGACCAATTTATTCATTTACCCATTTTCTTCATTTCATTTGTAGACACTCTACGTAGATAAATTATTAATATTGTAGATAAATTATCAATATTGCTGCTATAGATTAATACCTATACATTGTGGTTATTAACAAATAAAATCAGACCTACTATTTAACACATTCATCTATACCAATTACAATAACAAACAAGGAAGGCTCTTGAGCATACGAAAGTTAAGTTCGACTCTAAGCAACAAGTTATATTCAGGCTGAACCACCAAGTGACAAAAAATTTCCATTCGAAATTCTAAAACATTTCTCTGAACAAGCATCCTATCTTTCGCTTTGCCTTGTCGTGTTTAAATTCTTATTTTTCATGATTAATCTGCTTTTCTCCACTAACACACTGTAATAACGTTGAACCTTGGCGGAAGATTTCAATATTCTAAAAATCTGATAATCATGTTTAAACATCCAAAAATTGGAAATATTTATGCACATAAAAACATTGTAATACACCAGCTATTTAAATGAAAACATTAACCTTCTTGTGCATAGCATCAAGGCAAAAAAGAATCGAGTAGTTTCAATGAATTCTTGAGAGAGTTTGATAACATTGGCAAAGAATCAATAAGTGGCCATATACTGCATACATTCTGTATACGTTTTGCTTGTTGTCGCATCAAATTTCGTATTCGCGCTTTCGATAGTATTAGTAAGGTAGGTACCTGAAAATTATTAACACTACTCAAATCAAATGAAAATTGCTGACAAGTTCATCAGCAATCGATCAACTGAAACTTACATATTATTTTCTTTTCCGCACATAAATATCATTCCAGCTTGGTTTTTTTTTCTTGTTGCACTTTTTGTATTCATAAAAACACATTAAAGTACAAATTTACCACCAAGTGGGTCTTATCGATAACGGTTGCTAGGGCACAATTTTCACCATTAATCTTATCCGTCCTTCCTCGTTGATCTGATTTGTTTTGCAACATATTTCGGATTCTAAATTCTTCATAAAATATTCAGAATTCATACAATGATAATGTTCTTGTCACCTTTTTTAGCTACATTTTTAAAATTCCAAAGTTTAAATTCTGTCATCATATTACTTGACATAATTCATTATGTGTCCTAAGTGATGCAACTAACAGGAATGAAAATTATATGATTTGCATCGTTTTCTTTAAAAAAAGAATTTTAATCAATTAGTGAACCACATGTTTTAATATGGGGCATTCGTTTTTATTATCTTATTTCAACCGTTCTTTCATGTGTTTACTGATTGGTGATCCCTCTTCGATTAATCGTTTAATGGTTGGTATAGATGCATTAATTTCGGCAAAATCTAATGGAAGACGACGTTTGAAGTCAGAAGCATGTACATTAGCGCCATGAGCAATGAGCAACATAGCAATCTGTTCACGGCCTAAACAAGGTATAGCAAGAAGTTGCAGAATGATATGAAATTTTTAATATAAAAGTAAAAAAGGCAAGTTGATTTTAAACGTCATATTTAAAAACTCGATATTTGAAAAGTACATTATGTAAATACATCTATTTTTACTGAATATAGCTCGTTTCCTAAACATGATTTGATCTGATTTACACCAGAAAAAGTTCTGTTCTTCTAATTCAACATAATATCGTATTCATGCTGACTTCTACAGATTGTGTTCTGTCAACTGATAAATTCAAGACATATTTGATCATGGAACATTAAGCATGAAAACTGGAAAATCTGATGGAAATGAATTTTTGAGTAACAGAACAAATTGACCAGCGATATTCCTGCATGCGAAATGCAAAGGAGTTTGTCCGGTACAATCAGGAATATCTAAGTTAGCTCCAAAAGCAATAAGTAAGTTACAGATGTTCAAACACCGTTCTTTTGTCGCAATGTATAATGGAGTGCGATTATCTGATACTGTTACATTAGGGTCTGCTCCATACATCTACAAATGGATTATTCATATAATGGTAACTTTTCAATTTCAAACACATATTTTAAATCACTGAATTAACTTTTTAATTACTTTGGAATCTAGTAGAGAAACTGGTATTGAAAATTTGATTGAAACTAGACAGGAATTAAGTTAAAAATTAATGTGTTGATAAAAACCTGGAGCTTAAATTTTTTATTAGACAATATCATTGAATTAAGCCATCATTTAATGAAGGTGTATATATATTGATTATCCTGGAGAATAAGATTTTGTTCATTCGATAGCTTTTGCTAAACCCACTGCATTTTTAGGATCAAAGAATGGACCATTCAGACAGTTTCCTATTTAGTCGCTAATGAAATTTATTTTGTAATAATTCAGGTAGTCTTATTTAGATATTATTTAAGAAAGCGAACCAGCAGTAGTTCAACGATCGCATAATTGTGAAGTCGAACAGCCGTGTAAAGAGGAGTTTCAAGTCGACCGCTCTCATCAGATGAGAGTTTATTTAGCTCACAATTATAGTCCAACAATATTCGAACAATTGATTCGTTCTGATTTCTAACGGCCAGTGAAAGGGCAGAAGTGCGCATCAAATTTGAATTAATATTCAAGCTTCGATGACGTTGAAGTGTGTACAGGACCTGAACAAAAGTTGTACATTTCATGTAGTTAATGACGTCAAATATTTTGGTGATACTTTCTTCATAAATGTCTAGAAATTATGCTGACTCACCAGTCCAGGCTTATTAGCCCTAATTGCTATGTGAAGCTCATTCAGAGCATCCCATTTTCTGTAATTTTGGATCATAAATCCTTACTTCAGGCACAAGGGCACACCAAATATTAAACTGATGAAGGATTAAATTTCTGCAATTATTATAAAAGTTTCAGCAAAAAAAAATGTCATACAAAAATATTTGAAATGTAAACATGCCATACAAATTCAATATAATTTATGTTTTTAGTGAAAAATCATGTTATGCAAAGTGTGCCTCGTTTGTTTCCTTTTAAAACAAACGAAGCATTTTCCTCTCCGTGCTTCATCTGAAGAAATCTTTTTTTCACTATAAATCTTGGCAATCTGATAGCTAAATATCTAGAAAATCCAATCAATGTACAAATGCATTCAACGTCATATCTAGAAACGTCAAACACGGAGATTGACCGATAAGATTTGATAGTTGTTTTAAAATGCAATAGGGTACCAAATCTGAACTCAACCATTCATATATACATTCATATATACATTCATATAACCATTCATATATATATATATACTGAACTCAACCATTATATATATATACTTTATTTCAACTTGTTTTGATCTAGCCAGCTATCTACTAAAAATTTCGAGAGCATAAGGGCACTCTATTTAATTTCCCAAACTGATGATGATCATGTGGCTACTGACTGATTCTATCGGTAATATTTGCAGGAAAATAACGGAGTGATTACTTTCAAAAGGATTTTTTTTTTTCAAATCAGAAAGTCCCCCGTCTTTATCAAAAAAGAAAAAGTAAGGAAAAGCAACTGATAGCCTCGAAGTTTAACTCTTCCTATTTGATGCTTGAAAGTATGAAAGGCATAATCTTGTTCGTCAAAATCATTTAAAGTGGAGATGAGGTGTGAGGAAGATGAGGTCGTCAGAAGCAAACAACAAGTTAACCTGGAATGATGATACCAACCAAATGAAAATTAGAGTCTATTTAAGATGTGGTCAATGTTTTAGAAAAGCGCTGCAGGCAACTTCGCAGTCCGATAATGACAAAGCACGATTCAGCAGGTCTATCTCTGTCACTCATCATTGCTTTGTTTCTGTATTTCACATGAGAAAACACGTCTTTTCTCCTTTTTACAGCTAAAACCTGTTCTTTTTTGAAAGTTTAGAATCTTCAAGATATAATGTATATATATTCCGGATTTTTCAGATGTGCGAGTGCATATTTCATCCAATTTAAACTTTGTTAAACGGTGCTAAGTACTGCAAAGGCTGGAATTTGGAAGAGTATTTCATACTTGAGTATTTCTGAAGGCTTAGCTTTTTAATTAAATACTTGCAGTGCAGCAAATTATGCGATTTATACTTTATCAAAAAAAATTAGTGATTTTTAGACTTGTGCTAGATTAGAGTTAAGATTATGTTCTTGTGGGGGGAAATTAATATACAATAATTCGGAAGGAATCTAATAGAAAAAAAGGCGCTACAAGAACTGATTTAATACAATGAATGAGCACATATATTTCATATAGTAACTTAGTAAGCAATGAAATAAATAAATAAATATAAATAGCCATATATAATATCCGACTTTTTTCCTAAATGATCTATTACTGTAAATGAAATTGCAATATGAATAGAGTGGTGATGTTTCCTCTTTCTTTTAATTCTCAGTTAACACAAAAGTGAGGTTTGAATTGAGGGAAAGGAAATGAATAGAACAGTGCAAAAAGTAAAATGAATTGGGAGTGATAGGAATGACAATCATTTTGACACCAACTTTGTAACTCGCTTTCAACAGAATATAAATTGAACAACATAAACTTTTCCCGTATTACATATTTTTACTCATTTGTTCAAATTTTCTCCGCTCCTTCTGTAAATTAAACCATTAGTTACGAAATAATCTTTCTTGAATTACCATTTGATAACAGATAAATATCACTGCAATTTTTATTCATAACTGTGGAGATATCGGTCATGATTGGAGAAAAAACGATGAAATGCTCATGCGCACAATTAATGATATAATGATTATCGTTACACTGTAGATACCATAAACTGTCACTAGTGAATACTCGATCTACCTTTATTAGCACCTAATTAAAAAAAAGAAATGTTGTTATCACACCATATCATTTGTAAGGTTGCTGGATTACCGTTGCCATTTCAGACAGCAAGTTCTAATTTGTCGCATGAGTTCGTAAATACCTATAATTATTTCCATCCATCCATACCATCATCTAGAAAGCTATTCTCAAAAACTTAAACATTTCCAAAAAAAAAAATCGAAATCATCTTTTAATCATATTGAAATATTTTAATCGGAACTCTTATAGGAAAAAAAGAATATTTCAACCTTTATTTGATACGAGACGATTGCTTCATATAATTGTTTCCTGCTTAATTTATATTCTTATCACGTTTCTTCTCTTTGCTTCGGTTGTACTATCAGTAGAACTGGTTGAGCTGACTGTTGTTTTCTTCCCTTTTACTTCTTGATCCTTGAATTGTCGTTGAATGTCGTAACTGTCGTTTGCTTGTACGTCGTTGTTTATTGCCAGAATTTTGTGCTTGCCGTTGTATTTCTCCACCCGTTGAATTTCTTCGTCGTTTTCATAATTCACGTCGTTTAATACTCTCAAATTTGGGTAATTAAACCTCCCGTTCTTTTCTTATTGGTATCCTAAGAACTAATCCCTCTTACCCGTCCTCCTGTTTTCCTCTAATTTGGTTTAATATCCACATCGTTTCCTTTGTACGTCAATTCTCTCATTGTTTTTCCCTTCGCTTCGCTGCTTGTTAGCATGACTCCTTTGCTAGCGACCTCCTTTGTTCTTTATTAACTATAAGATCCTATATACACTAAATACAATACCCTCTTTATTCTTTAATTACCGTAATAGTACCTTCTGCCTATTTGCCGACACTCCAGACCTGGGACGGTGACGTGACTTCTTGTTCTGGATGATATCGGTCCATCATCTAAAGTGATTTTTTCTGACGTTTTCATATCCTGTTCATCTTTCGTGCTTCCTTCGCTCTTAGGACATTTGTTTTCATCTTCTTCAGGCATTTTCGTTTCATTCGTGTCTTGCAGTTTCAGAGGATATAATAAGTTTATGGGTCGTATAACTGTATTTCTGTTTGGAAGTTTCAATTCAACAGCTCTTATTTTTCTGTCTCTTCCCATTTTTAAGCTTATTATTTTTGCTAGTTTCCAAACTCTTCGTGATATTCCTGGTTCATCTAATAATACAACTTCGTTTATCCGTGGTGTGTTTCTGGCCGTACATTTTAGATGAACATGATTTGCTTAAGCCCTTTCTCTCAGTGTGGCTAAATATTCTCCTTCCATTTGTTCCAAAAATTTCTAAAGTTTTGAGTGTATTTTTTTAGCATTGTATAAGCTTCTGTCGTAAATTTCTTCTAGCAGGATTGTATTCATCGTCGTCGTTGTCATCGTCGGTAAAAATCGGTAAAATTAATGATGCATTTGGAGAGATAAAATCAATTGCTCGTATGGGTTTAATGTCATCTGAGTTTACATATGTTAAAGGGCGTGTATTTAATACGCCTTCTATTTCTATTATTAACGTTTCCAGGTCTCTTTCTTGTAGTAATTTTCTTCCTACCGCTCTTCTAAAAGTTTTCTTCGTTAAGCCTACTAACCGTTCATATAATCCTCCACACATGGAGCTCGAGGCGTAATGCTTTTCCAATGATTTCCTTTCTTTGCTAAAAATTCGTTGACCTTTGCATATTCCTGAGTGAATACGGTTTGGAATTGAAGTGCGTTGTCACTGATAATTTGGTGTGGATAACCTTGTCTACTAGTAAATCTTCTAACAATGTGCATAAATGTTTCGGCTGATAGGTCTTCGGCAATCTCCAAATGAACAGCTCTCGTCGTAAAGCAAGTAAACAACGCAATCCATCTTTTAGCTGTACTTGTATTTGATCTTACTGAAACCGGTCCGAGATAATCTACTCCAATGTTTTCGAAAGTTCTTGACCTTTTCACTCGCGTTTCTGGTAAATTTGTCATTATCGGCAATTTAAAAGGTTTCGCTTGCCATCGTTTACATACGTAACACTTGTTTAAAATTCGTTTTACTTCGAATCGGCCTTTTGGGATCCAATAACTTTTCCTGATTTCTGATAGCGTATGTGCTACTCCGGCGTGAAATAGTGACTCATGTTTATATAATACAATAAGCTCTGTAATAGCGTTGTGTCTTGGTAAATAAAGTGGATGTTTCGTTTTTTCAGACAAAGATGAATTTTCGAGTCGACTAGCTGATCTCCACAATTTATTTTCATCGAGATAGAGGCTTATCTTAGTTCCATCCCTTCGTCCAAAATTTTCATTCGAGCTTGTTTTATTAAAATCTGTTCAGCTAATTTATAATCATAAACTGTTATGGAGTTGCCAACATCCGATAACAGTTCAATCCATTTGAATCTATTTTTTGTGATTCGTTTAATGAATCTCAGTGACCAGATCATTGTTCTTACTAATCGCATCCATTTGCTAAAGTGATTGGTATTAATTATTTGAAAGGAATTGTCACCGTTTTGGTTTGTAATTGCTTCCACTGCAATTTCTCGAGCTTCTTCCTCTTCGTGTATGTTGTCGTCTAAATTTTGATAAGTCCAATTTGGCCAACTTTCTTCGTTTTTATTTACCCAATATGACCATTCCACCACAATTCCTGGTACTTTAAATCTTCTGGCTTAATTCCTCTTGTTGCTATGTCTGCTGGATTGGTTTTACTAGGTACATATCGAAAGGAAAACTTTGATTTCTTTATTTCTTCTACTCGATTCTGTATAAATTTTGGCTGTAATTTCATACAATTTAGTATCCAATGTAAAATACATTTTGAATCTGACCAGAGAATTGTTGGGATTCCTTCTAATTCTAATTGCTTCTTAGCGAACGTCGCTGCTCTTACTCCAGTTAAAGCACCCATCAATTCAAGTCACGGTATTGCAATAACTTTTAGTGGAGTGAGTCTTACTTTTGAAAATATTAACGATGTTTTTCTTTCATTGCCGTCTTTTAGTTGATATATAAACTACTGCTGAATAAGCAATAGCTGAGACGTCTGTAAACACGTGCATTGTAAGGCCGTCGTTTGTTTCCATAGTTTTTGGGGAATGTTTTTGATAAATTGTGGCCATTCTTCAATAAGGGATTGCCATTTTGCTAAATCTTCCTGTTCTAACGGCTTGTCCCATGAATAGTTTTTTTTTCCAGAGATCTTGAAAAAATAATTTCAATTTGATGTTTATTGGTACGATTAATCCCAGGGGGTCGTATTGAGACGCTATAAATTGTAGGTTGTTTCTTTTAGTTTATTTCCTTTTCTTTCCAGGATTTGAGCTCTATTGTGATTGTATCGTTGTGATAATCCCAAGGAATATCAAGAATTTTAATCTTTTCGTTTTTAAACTTGTCGTCTTTCGGTACATAAGCGTTGAACTCTTCATTATTGGATAGAAATCCTCGAATATTCATAGGTGCTTCACTATATATTTGTTTCACTTCTTGGTATTTTTCCAAGACTTCTTCTGTTGTGGTTAATGGTATCAAAACGTTGTCTACTTATAAGTTCTTCTTAATTTCTTTGGCTAACTCAATCCCGTTGACTTTTAAGTGATTATTCAGAGTCGCTGAAAGTAGAAATGGTGATGATATTATTCCAAAAGGGACTCTCTTGAATCGGTAGCATTTGACATTGGTGTTTTCCATTGGTTTTTTTATGTTGCGTAGTCATAAAAATCTGGTGCAATTTCTATCAGTTGGTTTTAATTCCAGCTGTAAAAACGCCTTTCCATCATCCGAAATCTCCATGGTATCATACGTCATTTAAACTTTTGTCATTTTTCAAATGTCGTATACCACTCCAAGCTTCGTTGTTTCTTTGTTAAGTGTAAGAATCTCATGATGTGGAAGATAACGTATTATACCTTCTTGATCCATCTCTGTGGTAACGTCTTCGATCATATCACACGCTAATTGTTCTCGAATAGTCTTATCATAGCTTTGGTTTGTCTCGTAGTTCTATAAGTGATATGTGATTTAAGTCTTCCTAAACATATAAGTGATCTAAGTCTTCCTAAACATAACCCATAATGACTTTTAAGATTTACCTTTGTTTCTTTCCACGGTCAGCTAACTTGATATCGCCCATTATGTTTACTGATGCTTTTTTTGAATTAAGATAATGCTTTGTCTTCTGGTTCTTCTTTCACATCAATAAGTTCTAATTTCCAAAACTGATCGATATCTGGTACATTGCGGCGAAAAGTTGTGCGAAAAATTGCTGTTTCCGTTTGCGTTATATTTGAATTTACATTGTTAATTTGACCATAACCTGCCACTATTGGTCCCACTTTCGTCTCCACTAAGTAAAATCCCGAATTTATTCGTTTGGCTTTACTTGGTTCTATGAAATTGAAAAAGTGGTTAGCTCCAATAAGTAAGTCCGGTTTTTTCCACTCCGAGATTCTGATCAGAAAGATCCGCTACTTGCAGGTCGTTGGTAAGATGGTCAACTGTACTAACTTCCATCTGAACGCTTCCTCGTTGCTTAATCTGATTTTCACTACCGTCTTTATCATTTGAAATTCTATGGGTCTTTCCTTTCCAATCCGGCCATATAAAGAATTTCACTTTTTCCTTTAATTCGCAATTGGTTTGCTAAGTTTTTCGACATGAATGATAACTGTGATCCTATTTCGAAAAATGCCAGTACTCTAGCTTTGATTCCAGGTTTTTGTGGATTTACTACTGTTACTTCTCAACAAAGTAGTAAGGCGTTGTATTTCGTTTGTATATTGCGATCTGCTACAGCGTTGACTGCTTTTACTTCGTCTTGGATTTACTACTGTTACTTCTCAACAAAGTAGTAAGGCGTTGTATTTCGTTTGTATATTGCGATCTGCTACAGCGTTGACTGCTTTTACTTCGTCTTTTCTTTGATCCATATTTATAACCGCCTTTGATTTTTGTTGTGATTGACCTCTTCTTTGGAAAATGTGACACAAGGCGAAATTGTGATCTTGCTTACAGTGGAAACAACTCTTTTGATTTGTCTTATAGTTTCTTGTGTTATGTCCCACTTTCAAACAATTTCTACAGGCTTTTAGAGCGTTTAATCTTGCAAGGCGTTCTTCCAAAGTTGTATATTTTCGGCATTCGTCGTCTCAATGATTTCGATTGCAAAATACACAAGGTCTTGATCTTTTGCTAGAATTGATGCTTCGATTTGTGGTTTCCTTTTAAAATTATATTGCCGGTATTGCTGATGTTCTCTTGGTTGATTGAATTGAATTCTTCTGCTACACGCTGTTCTTGCATCGTCTGGATTCTTTGGTCCATAAATTTGGTTAATCGTTTCTTTTCGTTTCACACTGACAAACCAATCTGGGTCTAGCTCCTTCCATTTGTATATTTCATCGAGTACCCATCGAGGTAACTTTTCTTCAATAGTCAGTTCGATACTCGTTTGTTCTACGTTTTCACCAAGGTTGTCAGCTGCCTAAGGATTCTTTCTATTGTCTCTATTGTTGTTCTCAAATCGCGATCATTATGTCTGAATGATTTTAATTCGTGATACAGCGTTTGTTTAATGGTAGAAGGACTTCCAAATCTTTCAAAGAAAATGTTTCGAATCATCTCATAGTTTTCTGGTGTTGTTTCTTATCCTTCTACTGCGTTTAATGCGGTCCCTCTTAAACAAGAGAGAAGATATGTCAGTTTCTGTACGTCTGTCAAATTCTGTTAATGTACCGCTGCTTCAAATCCACTCCAGAATTCTCTCTATTGCTTCGGATCTTCATAAAATTTTTAAGGGCAAGACGTGGAAGTCTAACAGTTAGTGGACGTCTTACTTCCGTTGATCCTTGCTCTTGTTGACTCGATATTCTATCTGATTCAGAATTATTTCGCGCCGTTCGTTCCATTGATTGTTGTAGATACTGCATCGTTGCTTGAATATTATTAATATATAGCTTAAGTGATATTTATGTTTCCCAGCCATCTTCAATTAATTTCAGAATTTCCTGATCGTCTTCAACTATTGTCACATATCGTTTTCTTCTTCTTGTTGTTTAGCTGGTATCTTTTGTAGGAATTCCAGCCATTTTTCATCAAATCTTTCGAGTGTCGTTATTTGCTTCTCTATTTTTTGTTGTTTCTCTTTAAGTTTTTTTCTTGTTCTTTACATCGCTCGCTTTGGTTTTCCACGGCAGATTAACGTCCGGTTGGATAACTTTCAATTGTTTAATCTCATTGAGCGCCTTTTTAAATTTATCTTTCGTAGGGTTGACGCTTATTGCTATGCTCGCTGACATTTCTCCTTTCTTTTTAAACTCGGTTGCCTTCCCGGTTCGTGACACCATTCACATCCGTACAACCCCATCATACGGTGCAATTTATAATCTAAATTAACAACGAATGACAGACCAATCCCCTCGGCCTCACTTCTTGAGAATGTATATCGGCACGACAAAAGCCATTCATCATCTATCATGCACGCGCTAGTAACCGTTTGCTTTAATTTCCGCAATGCCTTCATAACTCTCTCCTCACGCGCAGCTTTGGTTACATCTATCATAAACGGTCCCATCCTTATACCTTTCTCGAACATCAAACGGGGTACCGCTTCTGCTCCCAACCGGTCGATGTTAAGAATCTCCAATTTTCTAAGTCGAGCATTAACAGAAGAAGAAAAGATACTGTCCATGCTGATTCCACCCGTGTGTTCTTTAGAGAAACTTTTTCATCGTCCGCATCCTCTGCCCAGAAGTCCACTGACAAATCCCACGAATACATGAGTGCCAACCTTCCTGTCACTCTCTTACTTAAACTTGCACAATATAGGAACAGGGGTATTCTGCAATACTAGCAAAAGAGGATTATATCCGATCCCACCGGCCTTCCTTGGTAGAATCGAAAGCCGCAAGCTTATAGGTACAGTAGAGTCTCCGTAGCTGTACCCTCGAGTAAACGGCCCCTCCTTACTTTGTAATTTACTTCCTCATGTATACTCACATGGCACTTACGGATGTCCATTCTAACGAGCTTGTTAATAGTGCCACAACAGCAGCACGATCGCTGCACTTTCGCTGTATCCTCTGGCGCATTTGCTGAGGAAGAGGCGTTTTGATGACAGCATATATCCCAAAGGGTCTGAGACTGTTCTTGGCTTTTCACTAGGTATTATCATTATCTGATCCCTTAACACATAAAAGCCATATCTCGCAAATGTCTGAACAAGCTCAGCGCTACACACGCATAAAAAAGTCTTCTCAGACGATAATACATGTCCGCAATGATCGTATGCGTTTCGCAGCCATTCGATAAACTCTCCCACCTCATCAGCGTTGACATTGGCACCATTCAGCCTTGTAATCTATTCCATCCAACCGCCTGCCTACTTTCAGTACTCAATCTTGAACCGAACGCGGTTTCGCCTAAGCGGTTCATGATGCAATTCTGCATCGCAAATTCTCAAGGTAGTTCGCCGCTTGCTTCGCTCGTCAAACGCATTAGATCTCGACCATCTACATAATAACCCACATATAACCTCAGAGCGAGTTTCGAGCAGTACAACCATCTCACCTCCGACTCTCCGTTCTTTTATCGATCCCGCGCCGTAAACTGCAGTCACCTTCAGCTCCTTTACGGAGTCAGCTTTTCTCCAAATTGGAGGTCCAGTGGCTCAACCTCTCCAACAAGGTGTCGTAGGCATATGTATACATCGCGACCATTACCCCACCAGGTATTATGTATCCATCACTAAATGCGTTCTCTACCATTTCATCCCATGTTATCTTATCCACGCCATACTGCTGATCGCCAGGAGCTATACACTTCAAAGCCTCCAACATTGGTCCACGGAAGTTCCAAAGAACATTATGCGAATCATACTCAAATCTGTGTCCACCGCCAAAAAGACTGGATCTCTAGATATTCTAATCGTTTACTTATCATATATTCTCAAACCAGTCGTCGATCCAGGTCCAGAAGCAATGTTCGAAGCATCCAGGCCGTACAACATAAGTCCATCGTTCTTATCTTGAATAGAAACGTAATCCGCTAACTGCCCTACTACAGCCACTTGCGCATGAAGACGCGGTAACGTAGCGCATAAATATCCCTTGGCTTTATATGGGACATTCCGATATCCAACACTACCTGGACTAGTCATAATTAACTTTTTTTCCCAGCTCCGAACGTCTGAACTCATCTCCACCCAAAACACATCCTATCAACATTTTCTTTCTGGCTTTAATAACTCTCTCTTCACCTTCAATTACCGACTTTACTTCCATCGGCGTGACACCCGCACTTGTCGACCTCCAGTATCCGATACATTTCTGTTTCCAACGCTTCGAATCAGGTGGATAATAACCGTTTTCGCACGCCTGCCTATCAAAGTCAGACATTATCTTACTCACTTCCTGTAGTAATTCCTAGATCTTTAACTTCCTCTTGCGCGCTCCTTGGGGCTGATATACGCTTGAATGCACTTTTTATTTTTTCATTAGACTCATTAAGAATGAGCATGCACTAACGAAATCACTTGACAAGGTACGTTTGAGATTACAACGAAGTAAAGATTGGCAAAAACCCAGCAGTCAAACTAAACCTAGTTCCGACATCACTTCTTTCATTTCCGCGATTGTGCAGTCGGTGAAACACATACGCGTAACGCACCCTCACCAAAAATGGCATACAAACTACATTCTACACCATTCAGGTGTACAGTCGCACGCACCAAACCGACGCGCATCTCTTTCACATTCAACAGCACTCAGCTACGTTGTGCAAATAATAAAACCCATTCACGAAAACCATCTGCGATTTGTTCGCTCTGCGAACCGAAAACGCACTGCAGTCCGTTTTCTCGCAACTCTGGTGGAATTTTGTAAGTTTGTTTGAATCAAAAAACTCAGCAAAAATTGAATGATAAAACTCGTAGATGGAAATTGAACAAATTTTGTTGTTTAAAACAGAGACGAAGAGGCATAAAAACAAGGATGCAGATAGTTGAGTCAGTGATTAGCGCGACCAAAGGTTACAAATATGTTTTCAGGTGGAAGGCATAAGTGTTGCCAATTTATCAAATGAGAAATGAAGTAAAAAATTTTTACAAAAAAATCAGTTCGATTTCTTCTCGATTTCTAATTCGGATCATTATAAATGATAGTTGTAATGATGACATTAAACTGGCGACTGACGTATTTTAAACATAAATAAATAAATAAAGTGTACATTAACATTAATTTGGTAAATTCTTTCAAGATTTCACTGAAAAAAGAAGGATTAGATTAATCAAAAAATATTGTTTGTGACAAAGATAGTACTACTTCATGTGTAACTTATATTATTGCAAAAATTTTTTTGCAGAAATCCTATTTTGACAGTCTTCAAATTATAGTCTTTACTTCAACTTTAAGCTAAAATAATTCCATTTTGAATTATTAATCTAATTATATTTCGCACATTTTCCTTCATAAGTTCCTCTGTTTATGCATTTCTGTGAGAAAAAAAAAACATGTACCTCGTATAAAATATACCAATGGCATCACAATGACCCAGTTTAAGCACCGCATAATAAAGTACTATTCTATCTTAAAAGTTGGGTCATATAAGCAAGTTGAAAGTTGTTAAAAGAATAATGAAATATAGAAATGAATATAGAACAATCATCGACAACCAAACAAGGCGATAACTGATAACTACAATTTAAATGTATTATGACATAATGAAGTGAAAAGTATCTGCTAGAGGGTTAATAGTTATCTAATAAACAGAAAGTTAGAAAGCAGATTTTGCTAAAATCTTTTTTTCTTTGAATGTGCTTATACCAACAGTTAGATTAAATGGATCCTTATACTAATGAGATTAAATGAAAAGTTCATAATTTTAAAAATTAAACCAATTTTTATTTCTTTCTTCACTCGTTATCTTCAAATTTTCCAACATTCATCATTTATATTTTCTATTGGTTTTTAAATCATTATATAAAAAAGTGATGTAAAGTGATCAGTATAATCAAAAAAATTGGTAGATTTTTCAATGCGGTGTTACTGAAGTTAATTGATGAGTGCAATCAGAGTTCAGAAAATGTTTGCCTAAGATTTGTTTTCATTTATTCATAAATAAAATTTGGTTCGTATCAAATTCATGTTTTTTTAAATTTTAGTCAACCAGATAATGAGAACTGACAGTTTAAATATTTTGTTCACGTTAAAAAAGAGAATTCCATTGCTCTTCACAACACTCTTGAACTGAACTAAATCTTAAACTGGAGCAGGAAGCGAATATTACAGGAAACGATTTATTATTGCAAATTACGATAAAATGTGTTGCTTCATTTTTCTGGATGAGCCATGTATCTATTAAACTTTCAAATTTTTAGAAATTTCGGATACTATAATAAAAATAAGGTTACTATCAGCTTATCCGCAAATTTTACTGACTTGAAATAGCTAATATGAAATAGCTAATGGGTCACAATTTAGCGATTAATTTGGATATCACAGTTTTACTGATACATGGGAAGAGATTCTGTTTATTTCTGATTTTTATAACTATCAACAATGCATTAAATGAATGCAATGTGTCATGCATTATTTACATCAGTTCTTATTGATGCAATCTCATGGGTTAATGCATCATCAACTTATCCGTTTCTCAATCGTGATTTTCGGGTTTCTGCAAAATGTAGTTTTGTAGGGTGCAATTACATTGAATAGATAAGACATGAAACATTGATAATAAATCTTTCGCGTCATAGTATGGCTATCTTGCAGCATGATTAGCTCAATTAGACTTCCGGAGTTTTAAAAATCAAGAAATTCCATGTATGAAAGAAAATCTTTAAGTTTTATCATAAACTGAAAAGTCATGAAATTTCCTACATTTTATTCATCATCGAATAACTTCGTGAATTTATAATAATAAGTTAAGTAAAGCTATTTAATATAGCATTGCTGAAGTACAATTGATGAGACTGAAACGCAGTCATACTTCAATATCAAATTTGGCGACGCTTTTGGTAATTTTATCGAAACAACTCGAACGATTTCATTGTAATTGTTGTTTAAAATATACTTATTATCCCTGACAATCTTTGAATTTAAATAACTCTTCAGTGAACATTTTTTGCTTCAACATAGAAAAGAAATTGTGCAATTTCATTTCCAATTTGTAATAGAATAAATTTTGGAATGCTTAATTTAATTAACAAACTGAATATTATTTTCTGTATGGAAGATAAAAGAGATTGATGCCTAAACCGGAATCATGATTTCTGTCGCAAACTAAATTTAATAATAATAAAGTTGTGAAATCAGAACAAATTTTGAGTCGATCAGTCTCTGCACGCGCTAGCAGCTGATGTGTGAAAATAATGCAAGCTTTTGCGACATATAATAAAGTTTTAATTGATGTATTCAAAATCTGGGTGGAAAACTGAAAGTTTTGTTTTGTTATCAGAAATTGAAAATTGCTTTTGTATAAATTTTCACTGTGTGTGCGGAAAATTGCAAAAAACACTGAAAAACTTCGACAAATTTTAAAAAAATCTATTTTAGTCAAAAGCTAAATAAGTTGATTGAGTAATACTGAAACTATACAATACAATGCATCCTGAATGAAATATCGTGAGTGCTTTCGAATAGCAGCTAGCATGAAATTCACAATTAAAAAAAAAAAAAAAAACCTATCAATTTCAAGCTATTTCGCTGAAGTATTTTGATAATCAAGTAAATGATTGACTGAATTCCGCTTGGCTTTAGACCAAGAAATTTCTACTTCTCTGCTTCTCAAGACTTTTTCAAATTCTAATCAATGGAAATGTTACCGGTATTCGGTTTATTCTTGTTTACTTTTTTTGTAATGTTACTCTTTGTTGTTGCTCTGAATGCGAAAACTACTACTGCTCTGGAATGTGGGAACGTGATCTTAGGTATTAAGATTGATTTCACCTAATGCATAAGACTATTTAACCCTGAAGCTAAGCTAGCTAGCCAGCTTAACATCGGGTGCTACAAATGACAAAAGCGAAAGAAGAATATAAACACAAAAAAGAGAGCTAAAATTTCTTTGAGTTGTGCGAATGACATTCAGTACTTTCGTGAATTGTTGAATTCTTTTCGTGATAATAACGGTAATTAAGAAGTTCAGTGTCATTTTACATAAATTAAATTATTCCTAACGAGCAATTTGAAATGCTTTTTTTTTCCTCTACATAACCTGCGCTGACGTAATTTTTTGACAGCAATAATTTAAACTATTTATTACCTATATTTTTTATTCATTTTATGACTGTAAACACTATTAATAAATACATAAATTTATTTCAATAATTAAATGAACTATATTTCGCACGAAAACCAATATTTTCATTTGCAATAATATGTAATTGTAACGTCTCCCGATAATCATCAACTTTCCCTTAAATTAAGACAACATAGATGACTATTTAAATGATCAAATAATAAGTGAATTAATTAGAAATGTTTTTAACAGCTGCTTTCAGTTCTTTTAGAAAATCTAGTCATAACACTAACTGGATGTATCATTAGTAAATAATTAGATGGTCAGTGATTATTTTTAAATAAATAATCAAATTAAACAACCGTTTTCGTTTTTTATTTGTCGAAATAATTTCTAAATGATTTAATGGGTTTGTCAAATATCAGTCATATAAATGCATATAAACAACCAGATATGTACAATCATCATCCATAATTCTCGACATATTTATCCTTTTTTTCTGGTCATCATTTGACAAAATTCTGAAACACATGTCATGCAGCATGGCAAAAATTTTCATATATTCATGAAAACTTTGAAGTTTCTTAGTAACAGCGTAATATTTCGAGAAGTCCAAAACAATGAAATAATCATAATTGTGGCCAACTTAAGAAGAAAAAATAAGTCATTACCATCGAAATTAATTTTTCCATCTCTGTTAACATCCACTTGATTGTAAATAGCCTTGATATCACTGTCAGTAAGGTTATGTCCCATTCGCTGGAACGCAGTTCGTAACTCAGATCTAGTGATACATCCATCACCATCTACATCTAATTCATCGAAGACAGCTTTCAAAGATAATGAAAGCGGATTTGCATAAGCTATCGATAGAAATTCTACAATTTTAGTGTGAGTTGAAATATCGTATGCAATATCTTTATATAATTTATCGCACTTCACCAAAAATTAGCACAGAAAAGAAAATGTTGATCTTAGGATTTGCATAATTAATTCTAGTGCAATTAATTTACTATACTTAATGATTATACGCAGTTCTACGTCTTAAATTATAATATTGAATAAAAATCAAAAAAGAAAAATTACACTTATTGGCCGAAAAAAAATACCATCAAAATCAATATTGCCATCCTTGTCTTTGTCCGCGGCATCAAACATTGCATTCAATTCATCGTCTGTTGGACATTGGCCCATTTTTACCATCACCGCATTCAATTCATCTTTTTGTATGTATCCATCACCATTCAAGTCAAATTCTTTGAAAATTCCTCTCAAATCTTCTTCTTTTAACTCTTTATTACTTGCATTCTAGAAGAATGATTTTCTTCTCAAAAGGTAAATAATTATGCTAGTATTATTGATTCATGGTTCCTTTCTTTTCTTTTCTCCCAAAAAAAAAGTATGAAGAAAGTTGTTCTATTCAAACAGAATTGCAATCAATATTATTAGACATGATTTGTTTGAAAACTTTGAGTATCTCTGAGCTAAATTTACAATCTTATTCATTTGAAGAAATGAAAACGATGTGATCAGAGAATGGTTCATTCTTCCTCCCATCAATATGCATATTA